CTTATTTAGGTATACCAACAGGAGAGTTGGGACCTTTATTTGATATCCTAAAAGGTCCATCAGATCCAAATTCACCCCGAATGTTAACGCCTGAAGCAAGAAAGGCATTAAAAATCATTGAAACATATATGGAAAATATGCATTTGGATAGAATTGATATAAGTTTGCCTTTATTATTTATTGTACTACCAACAAAAAATATTCCTACAGGAGTATTTTGGCAAGAAGGTCCATTATTATGGATACATTTATCTTATTCTCCTAACACTATTCTTACTAGGTATCCTGAGGCTGTAGGACAATTAAATCCCCATAGAAGTGCAATGGTATTAGATTGGAAGGATCCTGAAGGATGTGAAGGAACTATACAGCCATATGTATTGGATCATCTTCCTGTAAATTTATGGGGACGAGATGTCCTAGATCAATTAGGTTTGACATTAACAAATAACATCAACCAAAATGCACCCACTATTATGACTAGACAAGGTTTTAGGAAAGGAAAAAGATTAGAAAAACAAGAACAAGGTATAGCAGCACCAATACAAATAGATCAAGGAACAGACAGACATGGGTTGGATTTTCAGAAAGGGCCACTGAGACAATAAAAATTACTTGGAAATCAGAAAGACCAGTATGGGTTCCTCAGTGGCCCCTGACTAAAGAAAAGATACAAGCAGCCCATGACCTGGTCAAACAACAATTAGCGGAAGGACATATACAACCTTCTGTATCTCCCCATAATACTCCCATTTTTGTCATCAAAAAGAAATCTGGTAAATGGAGATTATTGCAAGATTTAAGAGCCATTAATAATGAGATGGTTATTATGGGACCTGCTCAATCAGGGATTCCTCAGTTGTCTGCTTTGCCAAAAACCTGGTATGTTTTAGTTATAGATATTAAAGATCGTTTTTTTTCAATTCCAATTCATCCTGAGGATAGTCCATGTTTTGCATTTACTATCCCTGCACTGCATCATGAAGGTCCTGATCAGAGATATGAATGGATAGTACTCCCTCAAGGGATGGCTAACAGCCCAACTATGTGTCAAATTTATGTTAACAAAGTAATCCAGCCACCTAGAAATCAAAATCCTGAACTACAAATATTTCACTATATGGATGATGTATTATTAGCACACAAAGCTAAAAACACATTGCTAGAATGTTATGCCACACTTACAAACTTATTAAAAGGATTGCCTGGAGCCCTTAGTTTGGGCAATGATTTAGCAGATAAAACTACACATGACATACATATTTTCTCTACACTAGAAGAAGCTATAAATTTTCATAAAAGGTTCCATGTCAATGCTAATACTTTACAAAAGCGTTTTAAAATAACTAAGGAACAAGCTAGACAAATAATAAAACAATGTCAAAATTGTGTGACCTTTTTACCACAAGTTAATCTTGGAGTCAATCCTAGAGGATTGATACCTAACCATATTTGGCAGATGGACGTCACACACTTGCCAGAATTTGGAAAATTAAAATATTTGCATGTTACAGTTGATACTTCTTCTGGATTTTTGATGGGCTCCCTTCATGCCGGAGAAAAAACTAAAGATGTTATAGCTCATTGCTTACAAAATTTTGCCACTGTGGGCATTCCAAAACAGTTAAAAACAGATAATGCCCCTGGTTATACTTCTACCTCTTTTAAACAATTTTGCTCATCATTTGGCATTACTCATATAACAGGAATCCCATACAATCCACAGGGACAAGGCATAGTTGAAAGAGCTCATCAAACTATTAAAATGTACTTATTAAAGCAAAAAGAAGGAATTGGGAAGGGGTATATACTCCCCAAAGATAAACTGAAAATAACCCTTTTTACTCTAAACTTTTTAAATTTGGATTCATCAGGACGTAGTGCTGCGGAAAGGCATGTGTCCAAAAAATGTGCATAAGCCCAAGGTACTTTGGAAGGATATTCTAACAGGACAATGGAAAGGTCCTGACCCAGTAATTGTCTGGAGTCGGGGGTCTGTTTGTGTGTTTCCACAGGGAGAACAGCAGCCGATTTGGATTCCAGAGAGATTAACCAAGGTCCTGACCCAGTGATTGTCTGGAGTCGGAGGCCTGTTTGTGTGTTTCCACAGGGAGAACAGCAGCCGATTTGGATTCCAGAGAGATTAACTAAAGCGATTTCTACAGACCAAAAAGAAGATGATTTGACGCAAGTCCATAACAGCTGATATCCAAAACTCCAGTTTGGCTATCCTTACATCTGCGATAGAACCAGGATGCTTTTTTCAATATCAATTTTATTATTGCCCTTTCCCACATTCTATTTTGTTTTTTGAGCTCATACAGACCTAGGTTAATGTTTTGCTGATCAGTTCTATTTTTTGACTATAGAGTTTTTAAACATTGCAATGGAGATTTCACCTGTAAAAAGTTATAAGGCCTTTACTATTAGGTTATGTGTTGTATGTATTATATTATGTGTGCACACTTGTGTTTTTTGTTATATGTTTGAATGTACGTATGTCCATATTTCATATATGATGAGCGCTCATGAAAAAATTGATCCAATTTTTTTTTATATTCACGTGATTTAAATGGTTTAATTTAAATTGGGTAAACAACTGTTGAGGATTGTTTTAATATGTGAACAAAAAAGGAGGTTAACAGATCTGTTTGTTTACTTTTACCTTTCCTTTTCATTATATTTATTAATTCTCTTAAAGATAATGTAAATTGTTAAGAAAATTGTTTTCTTTTAGTGCCTTCTGGAATGTTATATAATTTTTTCTTTAGCCATTATCGAGCTAGTCAGACAGAGGAAAAAATTCAAGTAAAAGAGAAGGTCTCTCGAACTAGTCAGACAGAGGGAAAAATTCAAGTAAAAGAGAAGGCCTCTCAAGCTAGTCAGACAGAGAAAGAAAGCGTAAAACAGAAAAAGCCATCAGGGGGAAAGTTACAACAGGAGACTGCTACTAACACCTTTCTATCACCAGAGGACGTAAGTGTCCAACTAACAAGGCCACCTCCATATGCTGGGAGGCCCCCAACCCCCGCAGTTGACAGTTGGGATCCTGAGACAAGATCTCAAATATTAACATGCCCTGTATCGGAGGCAGGAGGGCAGCGAGTTTACCATGTTTTAAATTTCAAAACAGTGAAGCAGCTAAAAGAAGCTGTAACAACCTATGGTCCTCAAGCACCCTTCACTGTAAGCATGGTCGAATCCATTAACAACTTGAACATGACGCCAGCAGATTGGGCTAATATGTGTAAAGCTGTGCTAAATGGAGGACAATACCTGTTATGGAAGGTTGCCAATGAGGAATTTTTTGGGGGCCAACAGAGGCGAGGCAAAGAACCTCACCCCCCCGCTGGTACAAAGACCTCTCCACAGGTGTGGCTGTATACTGGACCGGTAGTCAGTGACGGGTAAGATCCAATTGCAATGGTACCAACCTAACGGGTAAGGACCATATGTACTATTGGACAACCTAAGGCAGGCACGGTCTCTAAGCCACATGCTTTTTGTTTAAACAGAGAGGGGGAGATGTTGAGAGCCACAGCCGAAGGGGCCCCAGCAAACTTCCAGCTGCCGGCTGATGATTGGCTCACAGCGGCCCCAGCAACATCTAGCTGATTGGCTCCTCTGCGGTGATGCTCATTGGGCTGTTTCCCTGCCCTTTCAGACCACGGAGCTGCTCATTGGGGGACTTTTTTGGCTCCGCCCACATGACCCAGCCAATCGGCCTCAAGAGCAGAAGGATTGTGGGAGGTGGAGAGAGGCTGGTGTTGGAAAGAGAGGCTTGTGGAAAGCCGGTGGTGGCAGTTGGGGCTCTGAGGATTTTTCCTGAGAGGCTGTTTTGTTTGGCATGTGTGGTTCTAAAAATAAAGTTAGTTTCTTTTGACAAGTGGCTCCTGATTGTGCCCAGTCAGACTGCGGCACTGTTTCCCATAACTTTTGCAGTATGAAGTGCAACAGCAAAGTATCATGAGATTCTTTTTTTTTTTTATATATTTTAGGTGTAGATGGACACAATACAATGCCTTTTATTTTTATGTGGTGCTGAGGATTGAACCCGGGTCCCGCTGGTGCTAGGTGAGCGCTCTACCGCTGAGCCGCAATCCCAGCCCGAGATTCTTTTTCTTTATAATTTAATGTATACATTTGTTCTTACCATACATTTTAGCAACCTTAGAATATGAACTTGTTTTTCTATCATTATTGACATAACTTTTGCCTTGGCACTTAAAGGTATTTTGTGACTTCTCTGGTATATTCAAATCTCCCACATCCCTATTTTTGTGCTTTGGTTACCTGACTACAAGCTCTAAGACAGGTATTAAGTGACTAGAGGGTAAATAGCACGCAATTGTTAGACAAAGGGATAATTCATGTCAAGAAGGATGGAGCTAAGACTGCACAACATTTCATCACACTACTCAAAAAAGTGTGTAATTTAAACCTAAAGCATTGTTTATTTCTGGAGTTTTCCATTTAATAATTTTGAACCACGGTTGACCAATAGTTGACTAGAACCACAGAAAGCAAAATAAGGGGGGAACCACTGTATTGCTAAGTGAAAAAAAAAGCAGGCTATGAATTAATACACATGCACACAAACACACATGTACATACACAAACATTATATGATCTAAATTTTGAAATCATTTAAAAGATAATTATATATACACATATATATTTAAAATATTAACAACAATTATATTTAAAAGGTTGAATGTTGGGAAATCTCTCCCTCCACACTCTTTTTTTTAATATATCCTGTATCTTCCAGATTGGCTAACATAATGATAAAATAAAAACAATGCTGTTAGGACACATGGGAAAAGAAATGGCAGTGTCTGACTTAGACTCAGGAATTCAAGTGGACCTAACAATAAAGACTCGTAACCCAAGAAGTAAAGAAATATTCCTATTTATTGTAATAATTAAATAACCAAATGTAAAAATTTTAAAACATATAAAAATAACTTAAAAAATTAACGTACAGTGAAACTGTATAAAATAAGTGCATAATTGAAGATAATTAACTCAGTATCATCCAAACTGTAAGAGGATACTTATGAAGTTCTTTAAATATGTAACATCTGTTCTTTGAATAAAGTTTAAAATTTGGTTTAAAATGTTTATAAATTTTCAGAAAAAAAGAATGAAGCTCCATCCAACTTGAATTGTCCTAACGAGAATGATTCTGTATCATTTCTTGCTTGTCTTTTCTAATACCCATTCAATCACCTGGGTGAAAAAAAAATACGATTATGGTATATTTCCATCAAAAATAACAGTGGTAGAAAATATATTATAGAAACTTCAAATCCTAATATTCTACCTAAAAACATATGATTTTCTATATAAAGAATACTTTTTGCTGAACTTTCAATGTTAAGTACAATATTGTTATTAGAAAAAAGGAAAAGTCCTATTCCATTTTTTAAGCCATTATCTTGAAATATGTCTTAAAGGGGTCACTCAAAAAATATTAAGCCAAACTTTGAAAACAACTAGTCAAACTGGTTTGTTTGTTTATTTATTTGTTTGGTATCGGGGATTAAACTCAGGGGCCTTCGACCAATGAACCACATCTCCAGCTCTATTTTGTATTTAGAGACAGAATTCTCACTGAGTTGCTTAGCTCCTCGCTTTTGCTGAGGCTGGCTCTGAACTTGTGATCCTCCTGCCTCAGCCACCAGAGCTGCTGGGATTATAGGCATGCACCTCCATGACCGGCCTGCTTTATTTTTTTCTAGCTGTGCCTGGCCTGGTTTATTTTTTTCGAGCTGTTTGGATTATTTATCATTTTTTTTCCTAATATCATTTTAGAAACTTTTCTGCTAACAACAAAATCTATTAAGTACTATTCAATACTCTGTCTGAATAAGCCTATTTTTCAGTACCTTAAAGAGTTTTCAAAGGGACAGAGTTAAAAATACCATCACCAATTCTCACTGCATATAAAATAGCAGCACAACAATCCTGAAATAAAATACTAACTTAATTAAATGTAGTTTCTTTGCAATAATTTATTTACCTGTACAGCATTGTTGCTTGCTGTCTTCTTCATTTCTTGAAATAGACCCCTTGAAGTTTTAAGATCCTAAACATTAACAAAATACAGCATTTTGTAGTTTGTACATTAAATTACAAAAAATAACTCATTATTAAGTGAGTTTAAGATTATCCTAAATAATCTACAAGTATAAATTTGATTAGGAAAATATTAACAAAAAAAATCAAAGTAATATATTGTGATTTAACTCTATCCTAAATATAAAAATATCCTAGCCAAAATATATATACATATGCCTAAATTCATGTCACTTGTTTGTCATATTCCCAATAGTACTGACCTGATCTAAGCATCATCCTTTACCATGAATATCTAATAATGTTTCATTACTTGAAAAATGAACACACAGTTTATATTTGTTATTCAGTTAAAATTCTTTTTCTTCCTCTCTTCTTTTTAATGATTTCATTCCTCAACAAAGAGGAATGACATAGGAAAAGGAACTGAAGTCTAACTTCTTTAAATTAAATGGCCATCACATTAGATTACAAAGTAAACACAATCTAACTGTATTTAATAAAAAAAAGAGCAATCCTTCACCAAATCTCCAAGATATGCTTCACAAAGGCAGCTACTTTTAACTCTTTCAGCTGTTCCTCTTGCTTTACCCTTCATGTTTCCACTTAACATATTTATGCTACAACTCACTGATTAAGTAATTTAAGACAGTGACAATTAACAGCCATGGATCCAGGTCTTACATACCACCTTCTCAATAACAGCTATATCACCATTTTTGATTGGAAAAAGTCAGTGTCTGCCTCATTATATCTAGGTAAATGCTGTTCAGTCCTGAGGTAATTAATGTATTTTGGTTTAAGATCTCTTCATTCAACATCCTACTTTTCCTGTAGTGAGTCTACCTGCTTAATTTTCTCTCTTTTAAATTTTCCATGTATATAATTCTGGATATTTCCCTCTCTCTCACAAAGAACTAACTAAATGTACAGCAAAATTTTTTAAAAACACTGAAGTATACTTGGTAATGTCTTGGTTCTTTTTTTTAAATTTATTTTTTAAAATGTAGACCTTTCTACCACAGCCTGCTCTAATTTGGTCTAGTTGCTCCCTAGGCCTGGTCCTATTAGGACCTGTCTTCCACACTTGGTGTTTTTGTTTTATTTCTTCATTCAGCTTCCTGTCTGCTGAACTCATCTTCTAGAAGATTTCTCAAGCGGGTAAAATAATTTTTCTTATTTCTTTTTATTAGAATTCCACGTTTTGAAGTATCTTTACTAAATTGAATTTTAGTAGGTAAATCATTTTCCCTCAGAATTTGAAAGTACTTTTATACCATATTTTAGCCTACAATGTTACTGTGGAGAAATCCAACGCCATTCTGATTCTTTTTATGTACACTATAAGTAAACTTTCCTGTAAACCTTTTAGTAAATGTTCTCTTTATGCTAAGAGTTGTATGAAATTCCATGATTCCACATAACACGACTTGTTGTAGAGCTTTCATTCATTAGGGAAGCCATGCTGAGTTCCCTTCCCAGCAGGAGGCTTGAGTCCTTCAGTGCTTGGCTATCTTTTTGACAATTTTCTCTCCTTAGTCTCTATTTTTGCAACTAATTAGCACATTGGATTTTCTGGATTAATTCTCTAATTTTCTTTTAATATTTTTTGCTTTTGGTTCTACATTCTGGTAATTTTTTTAATTTCAACTGTTCATTTTGTCTATTAAATTGATTTTGTTACAATTTTTTAAATTTTAAGGAGCTTTCATGTTTTGTGCATTTTTTGGAAACAGCATCAATGTTCTAGCTTGTGAATACAATGACCTGATTTCTAATAGAACTAAAATTTTATGAAGGCTTCTCCCACTTTCTGTTCCTTCAGAGTTCCCTTTACTCCTTTGTATTTTGGCATCATTTGTGTTAGAAGCTTTCTTTTTCAAGCTGCTAACCCTTGAATGTCCAGTCATATTTAAAATAAGAGACACTAAAAATATGAAAGACCTATCTGTACAGAGCTTGCTCATTTATGGCTTTACATAAATAGGTGACAAAGTGGGCAGTTGGCTTATTCACTGCAGCCACCAATATTTCTTCTGGAGACCATTTCTTACATTGTCACAGAGGTCACAGTAGAGAACTATTACCATTGTGGGAGAAGGGCATGTGGGGCACTTTGAAAGTTTCCCGGTCCACTTTGTAGATCTTTATTTAATTCCTCTTGTTCCCACCTGGCACTCTGCCTCTGCTTTTCATAGTACCTGGCTTTATAATTCTGGAGTCCCTCAAAGAGTTTGCCTACTAATCTGGCATGGTTCCCACTGGCATTTCACAGGGTAGTCATTTAGGTGGTAACTTCTTTCACTCTGCTATCTGCCTCCATGCTCTTTTTCTTATTCAACAATGTACATTTCAATAGGTTTTTTTTTCTTTTCTTATCCCTTCACCTCATTTTTTTTTTTTTTTTTTTCGGAATAATGTTTTGCTTGGGAAATTATAAAAAAGACAGACATTGAATATATTGGGTCAATGTGCAATTTGAACTAGAAATCTACACATAACTGTCGTTCAAGTTTGAAACTCAAAAGATGGGAGCTAATCTAATACCATCAAAGTTTTAGAAAAGTTGTTAGGCTAACTTGCCTAATGTTTTACAACCAGGTGATGTGGAATCCAAAATTAGAAATAAGTATTTTGATATTCAGTCCATTAGCCTTTTCACCACATACTGCAATGAAATTACTAATTAAACTGATTGATTAACTACTAAGTAATGTTTGAAGTTCCAACTTAAGAAAAAGACTTGTTAGGGAAAACACTTGTTAGGGAGAACTCCAGTTAAAATGTAGCTTTCTATGTATGAGGATAAAATAAAATCAATCAAATATAAAATATTTTGCTTCAATTTTGGTATTTCCATTTAAAGAAAAATCTGCCAACAAATTAGATGCTATCAGTATAAAAAATACTCATTTAAACATTTTTTTACATCAAACAGGAACATAGAACACGAACTAAACTTTGCTATTAGTAGAGAAGACATTGTACCTTTAGATAGACCTTGGAGATTTCAAAGAGGCGCTGGCTGCATGCTGTGAAGCACTCATGAGCCTCTGTGATCCGGTGTTTCTTCAGGGTTTCAGTTACTACTTCTTTCAGTATCTTAAAAAAATATAACATACAACCAATATTCTTAGAAAAGGTTCAATCATCCTAACTTTAGTATCCAATCATAAATGAATTGTGAACTAGACAATCAACTGACTATGCTAAAGATATATAAGGTTATTAAAACAAAAAAAGAAATGAAAAGATATCAATAAAATGTACATGGTCATATCCGTGACAGGATTAATATCTTAATAGGAAACAATTAGAGTATCTTAAAAAAGGATTTCAAATCAAGAGCCCTGAATTGAAACCTGAGAATAACAGTTATACACCAGAGCAATACATAGATTTGTACTTATTTATTATTACAGAAAATTTTGAACACAGACAGTTGAGAAAAGTATTTTATAACATATTCTTGATACTCTATCAACGAGCTTCAAGGATGACCACTTTGTGGCGAATTTTGTTTCATTTATGCTCTCATTTGCTTTCCCATTTTTCTTGTACTGAGTTCTTTTAAAGTAAATTCTAGACATTATGCCATTTCATTCACAAAATTTTCAGACATACATTTTGAAATATTCAAATAAAGAGAGTTCTTTTCATGTAGAACTAAGAAAGTTGGGAAAAAGGTTTTACCCGTGTATGTTTCTGTGATCTTGATTCCTTAGTATGCTTTGATGTCTTCGACGTATGCACGTTTTTTGGAACAGAACTGGCCTTTGTAGTGACTTTTGGAGTTTCACAGGCAGGGACTGGAACCAATGGACCAGTCATTGATGATGACCGCTCTGCCTGTGGCTTTCTGGATGTCACCACATGATGGTGATGGTTACTACTGCCACTCATTTGAGAAAGAGAATCTGAACTTACAGACTTCACAGGTCTATAATGAGTGGGGGGAAAAAAAAAAAAAAAAAAAAAAACAAGAACAGACTAAGTGAATCACAATGAACTCTATTTTTTTGTCTTAAATGTTACAACTCTATCCATTCAAACCTAAGATCAAGAAAAACAAACAGTATTTCTTACTACTCAGCCCTAAATAGGCAATCAATTTTGTATTATAACATTGTCCTTTTACTTCTTCAAATGAGGGAATAAAACTGAAGGCAATGAATTTCAGCAAGTGGGAAAGCAACAAGCAATATTATTATACTTTCCCTTTCCCCCTCTCCTATTTCCTCATTTATGACTTCATAAATCATCTTATAGCATGATAAGTGATTATCTTTATAGACTTAATACTCATCTATTAAGCATACATATTTTTATATTTTAACAAAAAAAAACATAACCTGTATCATATTATATCTTTGAAACTGTGTGTGCAAAACAAATGTGTTAAATCCAAATAAGCTACAAAAGTGATTCTTGATTCAATATTTCTATAATGTTTACACTTGCTTCCAGGAAGACTGATATTTTTCTTTTTTCAAGATAGTCATGTAGCCTTCACTTTTGCTAGTAGGGAAAGCAACCAGAAGCCATAGGTTACTTTCTTTTCTGGAACACAAATCTTTTAATTAGACATAGTTCAGAAATAAGAAAGTTACAAAATATAGTAGCCCAAATGTTAAATGAATGAGTTTACTTTTATCAGATATTAGAAAAAAATCATGAATTTATAAAGTAGTAATAAAAATAATTTAGTTATTCCATATCAGAGAAATAGTATTCTAACACTTTTACTGTTCAAAAGAAATTTGAAATTTTTGTCTTCATATATTTCATAGTTTTTTGAAGACCTAACTACAATAAGAACTATGGTTTGCTTTAGGTACCAAATACCTAAATTAAAAAAAAAAAAATTGTAGACATATAAATGCAACAGAAATTAGTGTTTCATAAAATTCTAATTTCTGATCAAGTATTTGCACATTTTATTTAACTAGGAAATATAGTTTCTAAAAAAAGTTTCATATAATAAAATAATTATGTGGTCTTCAAAGGTGTATTTCATAGTTAATAAGTGGTTTTAAAATGGTGACTCGTGGACTCCTTGCTTAAGGGCCAACACAGGCAAGATTCAGTGGGGAGAGGGAAGAAGGAACTATTTGGGGCTGGAACTTACATGTCCAAATACCCTCTTCAACAGAGCAGCTCAGCTGTTTAATCTATTAGGTGAGATCTCTAGTTTTCCATGGCTTAAAAACTTTACACTCTGTTGTGCTAATGGACTGTAAATTAGTACACACAGCAAGAAACAGTGTATTTCTTTCCAGGTCATTTCTTTTTATAACTTATAAGCAAAATCATAAAACTGCTCAAAATAAAAACAAACTTTCTGGCATGAAGGAACTAATATAAAATCCATGCAGAAAGCAACTTAAATATTATGAAAGACTAATATGAAAAGAAATGTTCCCTATAGTCTAAAGTACTTTCTCTCAAGATTATTTTTGTGCACTTAATATATCACCTTTTGGGGGGATGAAGGCAATTCAGATCTTGAGATCTCCGTTTCACCCGAGGTATCTCAGTTCGTAGTTCACTTTGCAAAGCTTCTCCATCAGGAACACTCCCAGGCTCTGACAGAACTGCAGGAGATGGAAGAGGGCTCAACACTGTAGGGACTGGAAAGCTTTCTCTGGTGCAGGTAGTTTGAGTTTCATAACGAATAAGACGAGACTGAAGTTCAGAAAATCCCCCATCTCGTTCTAAAGATTTTCGGTCATCTAAACAATATCTAAAAAGAAGGAAAGATCATTAAAATCAAAGCATCCAAGAGAACAAAGGGCTTTTACTTTTCAAACAGAAAATATGGAGACATTTTCTTAAAGTTCTTAACTTTCTAATAACTGTTGGAAGGTTGAATGAATAGCTTACTTCCCCCACAAGTTCAGTATTTTTTCAAGCTGCTATATAAAAGGGCAAAAGATTTTAAAATGTGAATTACAATCTAACTTTTCTTTGACCGTGTTTCTGGGCAACAGATTAAGTTAATCCTCTGACTTAGTTTCAAAATAATACAGTTGCTGTTTTGATATTTTTTAAAACTCTAGCAACCTCTGATTTCTCAGCATGGCTGATATATAACAACATGAAATGCTGACTTCTGTTAGAAAGGGCAAGTTTATTTTCAACACAAAGATTAAATGGTATGAAGGCATTTTAAGATGGCTCACTAAATAGCTCAGAACATTTTGAATTTTTTCATTGAATCTTACCAACCTTACTGACAGATTTTCTTTCAAACACTTGGGTTATCTATATCTGATTTCTAGCTAAATCTGACTCAGGGAACCAATGAAATGTTAGTTCAGCAAATGCTTCAGGACTCAAAGGAATTCATGTTGTTAAGCACAACAAATAAGCAATGAGGAAACTTTGCAATGCGTATGACCTCGCAAAGTTCTTCACCTTCTCCCCTTTTTACAATTGCATCAAGGAAACACAGTGTCATGCATGCAATTGTAGGACTTAAAAAATTAATACTTTTCTCTGTTGTCTGTCCTTTTCACCTGCGAAATTCTAAAATGTTCTCTAAAATCAGATTTTTGGAGTTCAATTCTCAAAGAGTATATTATTACCTAAAGATATGATTGCTTGGTGGAGTTTTTAAGAACTTTATCTTTCCCTTTATGACACATATTTGATTTCTAAGAACACAGACCATGGAGCCTAATGCTTTGGATCTAAATCTGAGTTCCTCTAGTGAACTTGGATAAATTGAAGCAAAGTCCAATTACTGACTATCTAACTCCATCTTGTTTCTCTATAACCTGTTCTTTTCTGAGTTATTCTTCTCTTCAGTTTCTGTTAAATTCTAGGACCATTAAGTCTGATATATAAACATCATATGATGGAACTGATGAAACTGCCCTCCAAGCAGCAGCAATTTCCTTCGCTCTGCTAGGAGTGCACAACCAGCCTCAGGATAATGACCAACCAGATCCGGGCCTGACCTTAATTGCCAGCTGTACAGATCTTCTTACCTCTTGACTTTGCTCTTTTCCCCCTATATAACCTCAAAGCTCTTGCCGACATCTGAAGACAACCCTTATTTCTGTTTTTCTAATGTGGCCACACTAAGAATAAAGACTCCCTTTCCTATTTCACAATTGATTTTTGTTGGTTTGATTCTTTCCCCTTTGGGATGAGTGGCCAGGCCTGACGTCTTGGGACATTGTTAAAGTATAGTTAGGACTGAAACATCTCTGATTTAACCTAATAGCTTACTTTAGACAAAATGTTAATTGGTGGGTCTCTCAATTCTCTAATATTCTTTCTCTGGGTTGTTGTTTAGTAAAATGTACTTCATTAAAAATCGGTAGCAACCATAAAAAAATACTGATGCATTCTATTTCTGTCTTGGGAAATTGGTAAAATCTAGAGTAAAATTAAGAAACATGAACTGTAAAAAAAATTCTAGTCAAAAGGCAACATAATGCCTGATTAGCTTGTATGCAAATTATTTTGATAGAAAAAGGTAGATATTTTGATTCTATTTAGTTTCTAAGATGTAGATATATTTCTTCTAGATTTTTTTTGCTTTGGGGGGATTTTTTTTTTTTTTTTTTGGGGTACTGGGAATTGACCCAGGTGTGCTTTATCACTTTTTATTTTGAGACAGGATCTGGCTAAGTTGTTGAGGCTGGCCTCAAACTTGTGATCTTCCTGCCTCAGGCCTCAGTCTCCAGAGTCTCTGGGATTATAGGCATGTGCCATCACGTGCAGCTTCCCATTGTTTCTTTCTTTTTCTTTTAATTTTTTTTTTTTTTTAGTTATAGATGAACACAATACCTTTATTTAACTTATTTAGTTCTATGTGGTGCTGAGGATTGAACCCAGTGCCTCACACATGCTAGGCAAGTGCTCTACCACTGAGCTACATCCCCAACCCCCAACTGTTTCTTGATCATAGCTGTTCATAATATCATTCCTTCAAACTGTACATTTTAACTCTAATCGACACATAAAACATCCATGATTATACTACAATTTACTATAAAAACAAAATTACTTTGTAAATAAGAAAGGAAAAAGAGTAGTAAGGTATATATTTGATATTAGCGAAATAAATATATATTGTTGAAAATTATAATTTCATATTTTATTACCAAAGAATAACCAAATGCTTTATGGGTCCTAACAGAGAAAAAATAAGTTTCATAAGATGAAACTAATTTTATTTTATAACTAAGAAATAGATACAATATACCCAAATCTTCTAGGGAAATATATTTCTGAATTCATGGTGCTCATCTCCTACAACTGTTTTGTCCTATCTCAATGTCTCCAGCTTAGTGAACATAAATTTACAGCAAAGAAATCTAAGTCACAGCTAGATCTGTTTGTTTATGGAGGTACACAGGTAGCAAAGAGGAGACCTACCTACTCCTTGATAATGCATCAGAGTCTTAAGATATTGTGTGCATAAATTAATAAAGCTGTGCAAATTTAGATTCATCAAGTAGTGTTCAAGTAAGTTTTTAACATTTTAATAAATGAACACGAAGAACATATCTTTTATAAATTCTAAAAATTTGTGTACCATTAGTATTTTTCTTTTTTTAATGTATTTTTTTTTAGTTGTTGATAGACTTTATTTATTTATATACAGTGCTGAGAATTCAACCCAGTGCCTCACACATGCCAGGCAAGTGCGCTACCGTTGAGCCCCAGCCCCAGCCTGCCATTAGTATTTTTCTATGATTAAACTAAGAATAACAGGAAAAAAGTAGGGAGATGAGACTTAAGATAAACAAAATTAAATTACAGAATTTGGGGAAACATAATCTAAAATATGGTTATGTGATGGATACTTCAAACTGAAGAGTCAAGTAAAAACGTGTCCTAGAGTAAGTATTTTGACTATGTGGTAAAGAAAATGTTAGTGAGAGAAATTGTTTTTCATCACAATGATATAAAATGCTTATTGGTTTCAACTTTAATATTCAAGTTATATATAAAATACCTAAAAATCCTACTTAAGTTTCTTTATTAGATTACAAAGCCCTAAAATTATCAAACAAATGGGGGAAATTCTGCTTTATATGTCATGTAATAAGAACAGAAGTTATATTTTTAAAAGCAAGAAAAAGCAGAAAATCAAATTGAGAATATGTGGAACAATTTCTCATTTTTCATATCAGAGAGTCAATAACATTTTTATATGAAGACATTAAAAAATAGGGAAGAGAGGGAGCATAGGGTTAAAAATGATGGTGGAATGTGATGGACATTATTATCCAAAGTACATGTATGAAGGCACGAATTGGTGTGAATATACTTTGTATACAACCAGAAGTATGAAAAATTGTGCTCCATATTTGTAATATGAATTGAATGCATTCAGCTATCATATATAAAGAAAATATTAGTGAAAAAAAATATATTGACTGAAGCATATCCTTTAGGAAAAGAATTGTAATCACTAGGGAAATGAAAACCAAACAAATAAAAGAGATGTTTCTGAAAGCTAGTACTAGAGGTAGGTAGTAACAAAGGAAAAAAATTGTTGGTTCTCATTATCAAATTTTCTATAATATTTAATAACTTGTTTTTCAGAAAATCAAAAAGAGGGAACAAAAGAATATATCCTATTAATCAGATTTTTATGTAGTAGAACAAAGAAGCTCCTAGTTTAATCTGATTAAGGTAAATATAGTACAAATAAAATGTGAACTTTGAATTCACGCACCTTCACCACAATATCACTAAGAATATAAATAATTTAACTAAAAGATTTATCAAAATTTAGAGCTATTTGGGAACCTATTAATGTTAGAGAGAGAATGACCATCCTCTAATGGAGTCCTTTCATCACTATTAGAAATAAAAAGTTGCAACAATGGCATCTTATTTTTTGTGATTGAGTAGTTGTCTTTGAATTGTCTATCATTTAAAACACAATTTTAAATCCAAAATCCTTAACCACTTAGATTCAAATTAGCTTTTCATATAAGACTTTCAAAAATGATTCATTATTGGATGCTGTACTTCCTATTGCTCATTTCAAAGTCCTCAAATTCTTATTTCAACTGGGTTTTTTTTTCCCCCACACAGATGTTTAATGTTGTATGCATCAACATTTTGTTCCTTGTTACTATTGAGTAGTAACGTTTTATTTTATATATGAGTTTATTTATCTGTTCTCCTAAGTCGTTTCCCATTTTGAGCTATAAATAAAATTACTCTGTACATTCTTATACAAGTCTTTTTATGGAGACAAGCTTTCATTTCTCTTGGGAAAATACCTTGTAGTGGAATTGTTGGGCTATAGGACATGAGCATGGCTAGTTTTATAAGGACTTGTTACCTCCTTTCTAAGCAGACAAATCATTTTACACACCAACAGCAATGTATGAAAGTTCTGTTGCACACACTTGCAAATATTTATCAGTCTTTAATTTGAGCCATTTTAGTGGATGGAAAGAATTTCATTTTATGGATGTACTAAAATTTATTCAAGTCCCTAAAAATATTATTTCCAACATTCCTCATTTTAAATAACACCAATACCATTAGATAATAACTCTGTGTATGTCACCAATGTTTCCAGTAAGCTAAATTAATCAATCAGATGTTAGAAACATTTGTATGACTTTTAAAATTATGAGCTGCCCTCCAGAAAGCTGCAGTGATTTATATCCCTCTGAGCTAGGTTGTTCACGCACCTTCACCACAATACCACTCAGAATAATGGGATTATGTTTAAATCACATATGGCAATGTTATGAGTGAAGTGTTCTCACTGTTGTTCCAATTTAAATTTTTTTTGATTAGTGAAGAAAAACGTCTTTGTGTATACTGGGTATTTGCATTTCTTGTTTCTGTGGTTTCCTCCCTCCTTCCCTTCTTTCTGTACTGGAGATTGAACCCAGTGGTGCTAAATCACTGAACTACACCCCTCCTGCCCCTTTCTATTTTTTATTTTGAGACAGGGTCTCAATAAGTTGTTTAGGGTCTTGCTAAATGCTGAGGCTGATCTTGAACTTGTGATCCTCCTGTGATCCTACATTTGTATTTTCCTTCCTATTTTCAATGGCTTCAGAGTATTTTAGTCCCTTAACTTCTCTTGCTTGAAGTATTTTAATTCAAGTTAATAAAAGGCAATGGGAGTCCCTTCAACGGCATAAACCAAGCACATCATTTCAGGTGTTTAAAAACAATTTTTTAATCACCTCAAAAATAAGCATCAGAGCTAAACTTGAGGGTATACATCTGTAATCCCAGTGACTCAGGAGGTTGAGCAGAAAGATTGCAAGTTTGAGGCTAGCTCCAGAAACTTACAGAGACCCTGTCTCAAAATGAAAGGGAACTTGGGATGTAGCTAGTAGTAAAGGACACCTGGGTTCAATCCTGTTACCAAAACAAACAAACAAAAAACAAAAAACCAATTTCTCTGGCATGTCAACAATGTTCTTCATACTTATTACAACAGTAGTACTTATTAGAAGTAGTTGTACAACACTGCTACTTCTGCTTCCTAGAATCTGTAACCCTATGAATACCTATGAATAAGCAAGCTTTCTACTAATTTAATTGATGGAAAATTAACATAAAAGCAATAATTTGCTTTAAAACTATGAAACATTTCAATCACCAAGATCTTGAAAATTCATGGTAAAATATAAAATCTTCCATTTTCTGTCCCTGTGAAACTAGTAGATATGCACATAACCACCCAAACCAATACTTCAAGCAAGGGAATCATTAAAATGGTCAATTAAAATTCTAAAAAGCTAATATAATTAACATGTTAAAAACAGAAACACATTTCAACGAATAGCTTCTAAGCAATTACAACATAATTAGTGACCAGGCAACATTGATGAGACCCCCAGTGCAAATACACATGAATAATGTAGACACAAAAATATTTTTGATTAAAATATTTAATAACTAATAAGAGGATACTTAAATGATGTTAAACTGGTTAATCATCAAATAGCATTTTTCAACAGGAGACAAATTGTTCGTGTATGTACAGCTCCCCCAACACTTTTTTTTTCTTTTTTTGAGGTTTTTAACATTTTTTTCTTTGGCTCTGTTTCAATTTATATTGTTTTATTATAGTCACCCTTCACATTCACATAAAAGACACTATGTTAACAACATGTAGGAGAGTAAAATGTAAATAAAAACTTACTCAATTCCATGATAATGACATACTGAGGCTTTTTCAAAAGGTAAGACCTGAAGTTTCCCAGGACTAAGTTCTGGTGTCAAAACAAAACTCTTTTCCCTGAAATAAAACAGTTTGCATTTGTATTTAAGATAGGGTAGTGGCAGAGAAAATGTACTGTCCTTCCCATATAAATTAGAATGTACTGATTAATATAGGGAATACTCTGAGGTTGCTTTTATTATTCCTTTTTCCTTTATATTTAATACCACAAAAGTGTAGGACATTTGGCTAAGGTAAAAGGTGAGGAGGATTAAGGCTAAATGATAAATGCAGGAAGTATACTTGTAAATATCACGTAAGTAGCATAGGGCATTAATTAATTAAGGAAATGCAAGGCAATAGTATCTAAAAATGATTTTTTGAAACTGTAAGTTTATAACTTACCCCTTTTGAATCTGTAAAGGCTGAAGATCTCCCACTGGGAATCCATCTGAGGTGAAGTATTTCAGCAATTCTTTAGCATCCAATAATGTGATTGAATCCCGTGGACCTTCTTTGTGGCCCAGCAACTGTTCTGATGAACGAGGTAATGAACCAGTTCTGGAAAAATAATGTTACATACATTTATTAAAGGTGTATTTGAATTCACCATAGTCAGGAAAAGGTGATATAAGCATAAACCAGAGAAATACACTAAGAAAATTAAAGAATCACTTTTAGGGAAGACCATAAAGTAAAATATTTGTAAATCACTTCATTTTAAACTATATTTTTTAAAAATATGTAGGTTACATTGAAAATTTCAGTTCCCATGTCAAAAATTCCACTATTTAAATGAACATAATTAGGTTATTTATAAAAGGTTGAATATTCATTATTCAGTAGTGTGAAGTTTCCAATTCTATAAATTTTAAATCCAAACTCCTGTATATTCTGAAACTCCATAAAATTATAAATTTCTAAAGGAAAGAATTGAATGTTCCAATTTTCTATGAACTTGAAAGATTACTTAAAGCACAACCATGAAATGAGACAGTAATAGGAATTTTCTCCAAGGTCTCCTCTAGCCAGGATTATGACATTATGAATATACACTGAATCATTATTACACCTGAAATATGTGCAGGACTTTATACTTTTCAAACCGCTTTACATACAATAACAAATTCCCTTGAAAAAGATGGAATAGATCTTATTTTAAAATGAAGTAACACCTAAAAAATAAGTCCTTTATAAAGTGAAAATCAAGCCTAAAAAATCATTATTCCTATTTTTCAGCTAAAGATTCTAACACACAATAGGTTATATTACAGATGCAGGGTAATACAGCTATTTAAAATGACAGGACTAGACTGACTCCAAATTAAGTACTACTTCTACTCTATCAAAACATAAACCAATAAAAGTTCATAGAAAATTACAAAAAATGGAAAGAGAAAAATACTTCCGTTTCAGAGAATGCTAAAAGTTTTATCACATACTGAATCACTGGCTACCACAGCTCTGTCACCATAGCATAAAGTCTTTCATTACTTTTTTAGAAAATTAATTTACCAACTTCATATTAATTTATTCCCTATTACTCACATTAAGCATTTTTCTGATAATTACATGATTAAAATAATGACATTATGGTTTTAGACTTACATTTCTATACATTAAAGATTACTCACATACTGACAATGCCCCTTCCATTCTATTCCATTCTCTGTACTTTAAAATTGAAAGTATAAATCTTAAAAAAGTCGAACAGAAAAACACTCAAATATTTTCTCTGAACGTCATACTTCAGAAGGGCAGGAATTGCATTATGAGTTTAATTGAACTTCTACGTAGCTACTAACAGTGACTTACAAAGTTTTCTTAATGAATATCACTCTAATATTACAGGCTAGATGCAATGGGAAAATGCATAATTTGCTTTTATACAGAACACAACACACAAGCATATCAAAGCAATTAGAAGCTTTGAATTGTATTACTGAGATGTCTTAGGCTAAAAAATAAATAAATAACAATGTTGACAATACCTTATTCTGTTCAGTGTTTTCAAATTTATAGTTATTTTCCCCCATGTATTCTCTCATTAAATTTTCACAACTTTCAAGTAGAATGAAGTTTTTATCCTCATCCTAAAGATGAGGCAACAAAGTCACACAACAGGTGATAGAGTGGGTCTAAAACCAAATTATGAATTTGGACATTTACTATCTAATGATCCTATACTGTCTAGTTAAATCTGTTTTAACACAAAACAAATTTTGAAAATATATGCCACAACTTGCCCCAAGGTGATAGTGTCTCCAAATCTTTTGAAGTCCCACAAGTATTTATTGAGTATTTACTTTACAAATATCATTATGACATAATAAAAGAGTCCACTATAATCTCTAGACCAATAATCATAATTACTACATGTAATTTACTGTAAAGGTCTGACTTAAGATAGGAGAAATGAGGGGAAAAGATAAATATATCAATGTAGAATGAGTTACAAAAAGGTATAAGAAAAGGAGTTTTACGAACAAAGTAGGAAGGTAGTATACTTACTTGTTTACAGAAGAAATATAACAGAGTTCCAGGGTTTATAGGAGGCTTAAGAGAAAGGTGGACCTTGAACGCCAAAATTACTTCTAGCTCAAGATGAGATTAAACATACACATTAAGTTCTCTACTCAAGCAAAATGAAATCACAATGTTGAAGTACGGGAAATTAAATGCATAATGGATGTTAAGAAAAGGAAGAAAGTAAAAACAGTGGACCAAAGAATTCAATGAATTTCAAAACAGGATACACTACACAAGCACCTCTACAAGAACTAGGGGGACACATATAAAAAAAGGTGTAAATTTGGTCTTCCTTTCCCAGGAAGCCACAATCAGACAATAACTTTGGGGTCACAGAATGACAATGGGCACAAATCAAGGTGACAAATTTTAAGAACTATAAATTCTCAGAAGAGTGGTGCAAGTACTACTGTCCTATGCCATACACCTCACCCTTGTGCTTTTTATCTCTAAAAACAAATTCTTTAAAAATACAAGAACCAAGTGCCTCTCCCAGGGTCAGTGTTGATGGCTCAGAATTAAGACCTCCAGCCCAATTTAGTGCTGGGTGAAAAGCCAAGGTGGCTTGCCTACTCTTAAAGTATACCCTATAGTAAATCCTACCACACATGCCCAGCCTTGCAGCTCCTTATCCAATATTAACCCAGGTGAGAGCAGCTGGGGACAGAAGTAGACATTTGGAGAAAAAGCACAGGCCAATCATCTGTAAAAACCAACCTAGCCCTAAGCTTTTAGCTGTGGAAAGACAACCAAGACACTGGAGAAAAACTACAGAAAAGAAACCACCACCACAGGGAATTGAGACCATGAAAGGAACAGTTAAAATGAATACAGGAAATTCTAATTAATATCCTTACCTCTCATCTCAAATCTCAATACTATTAAAAGAAGGATAGGTTGCTACTGAAAAAAGAGGATAGAAATACAAGAAAAAATATTAGGAATTTAAAATATGACTATTAAAATTTTTAACAGAAAATATGAAAGCAGTGATGAAGGAATACATGAGGACGTGCAGCAAAAAAAGGATAGACTTTCTTTATTTTTATATTAGAGATTAAAACCAGGAGTATTTTACCATCGAGCCACATGCCCAGACCTTTTAAATTTTATTTTGAGATAGCATCTAGCTAATTTGCTGAGGATGGCCTCAAACTTGTGATCCTCCTGCCTCAGCCTTTCGAGTCAAGAAAAGATTATCGAGAGAAAAATCAAATTTGAATTAAAACAATAATCCAGTAAATTTAACATTAATTAAAACAGGTATTTCAGAGAAAGAAGAATAAGAAGAAAATGGAAGAAAGAACATTCTGAAGAAATGATAGAATACGTCTCAGAGCTAAAAAAGACAAATCTTGAGACCAAAACATTCCTTACCGTGGTCTCATATTTCAAAACCCTAAATTAAAAAAAAAATTAAAAGTTTTAGGGACAGAATCAAATATTCTATCAAGAAACAAAAGCTGATCTGGTAAGATATGAGATCCAAAATAATAAGAAACTTATCTAGGAAAATGATCAAAAGAAATTCCATGATAACAGCTGTGTAGATAAAAGGGGTCTGGCCAGGTTAGAATGGGAAGTTAGAGAGGAGAAAGAAAAATCGCTTTAAGAGGAGAAGAATTAGGGCTGGAGTTGTGGCTCATTGGTAGAGCACTCACCCAGCATGTGTGAGGCCCTGGGTTCGATCCTCAGCACCAACTAAAAAATAAATATTTTTTAAAAAGAGAAGAATTATCTACTACAAATAAACAAGAAGGATAAAAAGGGAAAAAAATTGGTACATTAACTTTATCTTTGTGAGAAATGAAAAGATATCATCTAAAATTGGTGGGCAAGAAATTGAATAATCTGTTCTTTTCTCACTCTTCTTTCTCAGTCATCTTTTCCCTAAACTGTAAACACCAAAGATCCTCAGGGAATGGTCTTAGGCCCTATCTCTTTTTTCCTCATGGTCTCACCAAGTGACCTCATCTACTGTCATGTATTGTAGTGACCCTGAGTTTAATGATAACTTCAAACTGAGTTCAAATCCCTCTTCCAGTCCACCTGACATTTCCAGGCGAGCGCACTACCGCTTGAGCCACATCCCCAGCCCACCTGACATTTCCATTTGGATAATTCATAGACCAAATTTAGCATCCCAAAAGCACTGATTTTTTTCTCCCCAAATCTGTCCGTACCCTAACTCCCCATCCGTCTTTCCCATCTTATATATAAGAACACTACCCTGTACTGTTAAAGCTAGAAAACTAAATTATCATGAATGCTTCTTTTTTCCTCTCTACAACCAATCCATCATAGAAGTTTTTATTTTCTAGCTTACCATCAAAATATATCACAAATTTGTTCATCACCACCCTAGTTTGAGATCAGTTATTTCTCAACCTGCAAATAAAAGAGGCATCTTATAGATCTTTCTGCCCCTACTCTTTCCCTCCTGAAATCAGCTTGCCACAAAAGAGCCAATTTTTTACAAAATCAAATCCCACCAGTTTTTGGTATAAAATCTTCCAAAAGCTAACCAATGTATTTATAATGAAGTATGATAACCTATTTGGTCCTCTACAAGCAAATGTGCTTCACCCATTTATCCACCAGGGTGTACTTTAAGTGAGAGCTCTCCCTGCCTCCAGGAGTCAGCAGTACTATGTGAACATAAATGGAACAGCTGAAAGAGTGGCTCAAATGAGGAGAGTACTTCTACTTCATTTTCCCTTCATTTTACTTCTGTTTCAATGTTCCTGTGTTAATTTTTTCTTTTACATTCATATTTAAGTGTTTACAGAAGATGGTCTGGAAAGCTACATATCAAAATGCTCACTGTGGTTATATAATCCTGCAAAGTACAACTAAAAGACAGAGGAAGAACAACATTTCCCTTTGAATTGATTTATTACTCTGTTGATTATCTATCTATTTATGGAAAGCATGCATTCTTTTATTTTTATTTGATTATTTCTAATTTTTTTTTGGTACCAGGGAATAAACTTCAGGGTCCCTTAATCACCAAGCCATGACCCCAGCCCTTTTTGTATTTTATTTAGAGACAGGGTCTCATAGAGTTGTTTAGGGTCTCAATAAGTTGCTGAGGCTGGCTTTAAACTCATGTATCCTCCTGCCTCAGTCTCTGGAGCCACTGGGATTATAAGTATGTGCCACTGAGCCCAGCACATGTATTCTTTTATAATGAAACTATAAAGTATTTATATGTCATAAAAATATTAAAGGATTAAGAAAAAGTTGAGGCTGGGGTGAGGCACTGGGTTCAATCCTAAGTACAACACAAATAAATTAAATAAAGGTATTGTTTCCATCTATAACTAAAAAAAATAAAAAGAAAAAGTCCATTTAAAAATAATAAGCTAGACATGCTTTACTATGAACTCAAATATTACCTCATTTTTTGCTTAGCTTTTTCAAAAGTTTCTAAGTTGTGAAGAACATATCTTTCTGGCCATTCCAGAGAACTGGCTTCCATTAGATTTGAAGAATCAGATTTTACTGGACAGGCAGCTAAAGAGAAAGAAGTACACATAAATACTAAAAAGTATCTCCATATTGAAATTTGTACACATGCACATATGTATACATGGATAAATTTTGCTATACACACATTTTTATGCATATGTATGTACGAATGCAAACATAAATCTGTGTATGTATAAAGCCAGACTGGATTAGTTTTGGAGTACTTACATTAGGCATTCATCAAAGACCTCTCTGATGGCCTGAACTGTAGAAAATGCCATGAGAAGTTTGTTGAAGTTTGCCAGAGATGAAAATACATGTCTCTTTAAAACAAAAGTTATGAGCTAGGATTTCATAAAACTGAATTAGAACTATTAGCTTACAGAACAAAGACACAATTTTGCTATTTTTAGTGAAATTAGTTCTCAATGAAACTTCACAGGCAGCTCTGTAAAGAACACATTAGATATACTACAAGATTTTCATAATAAATACAGGTTTAGTACAAATAAACTAAAAAATTCCTTATCTTTAAAAAGAGATTATCTTATTCTCAAAAGCACAATAATAAAATAACAAATAATTTATGATATTCTCAGGTAAAGGTTACTCAGAAATAATTCTTGTTTATCTGTTAATATAAGATATCTTAACATATGCATCCTCAAATTGCTAACATTGAATGCTATTTTCCTACTTATAAAATATAGGTAAAAAGTGTATTTGTCTTTCTAGCTAATTTGCTGCACTGAACTGCATCAAGACTTTAAGAAAACCTAGAGGTTCAGCTTCTGTTCTCATCAGAAATTATAAGTGCATCCAAACTACTTTAACACTGGCAAAATTACTTACTATTTTTTTGGGGGGGGATTTTAAACTATCTGCTTCTATTTTTAAATATTATACATTATTCTAATAAATGGAATGGAATGCATTGGACATTAGGTGTTTAACCATCAATGATAACAGATATATTCATTTTATATTTGGGAGAAGTCATAAAATGATGATTCAGTATAGGAAATTTTAAGAAATGAAAATGGAAACCAACTGAATACTTTTCGTTTTACTTATAAAACTATTTAAGCTTGAATGTTTAAAACATTTTCAACATCTATATTGTAATGCACTCACAAACACCATATAAATACACCATTTTCCATTTATAAATAAAAGGTAAAATACTATTTTATAGAGCAAGGAGCACAATAATGAAATAACATACTTCTTAATGGAGACATGGCTATCCACTGAAAGTATAAAGAATGAAAATCAATAGCAGTTCTGCACAGTTGCATGCTGAGTTCATAAAATAATGCAAGCCATCTTTAAAAAATAGTCATTAAATTGTCCCTAAATATTACAATACAATTAATTATTAACTTGGAAAATACAATCTAATAAATATAAATGACATAGGCTAAATATTAAAGAATGGGTGGACAAACATTCATAAACATCATGTCTTTTGAGGAATGACTTAATATAATTCTTACAGTAAAATAAAATACAGTGTTTTATTTATGTGATAGGGCTATCACATGCCACACCAATAACCAAAGAGTAAAGATCTCTGAGAAATCAATAAGACTTTTTTTTTAAAAAAAAAATATCTTATTTTACAGGAGAAACAAAGAAATAGAATCAATACAAAATGGAAATATGGGAAACTGCCCTACAAAATAAAAAAATCACAGTGAACACAAAGTAATGCCACTGTTAACAATATGCAGTTAATGAATACAAACCATGGTAATTTTTATGCCCAAATATGAATGAATCACAGAGAAAGGTTATAGTATAATTGATATAATCTGTTTGATAAAGCCAGAATTATATAGACTGTTTGAAACAATAAATGTATTATCTCACATAATTACCTAGTGAATTCTTTTATGTAGTGCTTTCACATGCCCCAGTGGTCCCAGGTAAAGGACAGAGTCATTATATTATGAGTTGAGGCATCACATTTGGCTCTGTGAAAGTCTTTAGCAACTTCATGAAAACAGTAAACAAGATGGTTAGAATAAGGTATTTTTAACTTAATGACTTGTCACTTGTTACACATGCTAGAGTCTTTTAAAACAATGAGCAGATTAAGTAACCCTAGCAACTGCAAATAACTTCTAATGTGCATGATTGCAATAATGGGTCAGAATATGAAACATGATTATTGGCCTTACTGTTTCTACATGTAATGTAGTTTACATGTGGAATCATTCAAATCAAAGCTACAAGAACATTACAAGTCATGTTCAAATGAATAGTCTGTCAAATTTCAGTTGAGGTTCTGAAACACCTTTAGTGTTTCTTGCATTTGTTCAAGTATTTGTGGGAGCTCCTACTCCTGTGGGCCAGCTCTCTGTCAGGCTCAGGGGATACTAGAGAGAACATAATAGGCACATTCTTTATCCTCAGAAAACAGTTCAGAGAGAAGATAAATATTAATAGTAACCCATAAATGAGACAATGTTAAAATATGATAAATAGTTTGAAGGAAAAATATAGGGAGTGAATATATCACGAAACAAATTAACAAGGTCCAGAAAAATCTCTATGAGAAAATTACATTTAAATAGACATCTAAAGAATGACTATCAGTTAATCAGGGAAAAGCTGGGGGAAAAGGCTGCAGCACAGGACACTGTGTAGGTGGAAAGCAATAATGTAACGTGTCTAAGGAATAGAAGAAGCCTGTGGTAGGCAGGAAATGGATGGGACACTGGAAGGCTAGAATGAGCGTGACACCAGATATGACTTCAGGATTTTATGGGCCATATTAAGGGCAAGACATTCCCAGCAACTGGAAGCCACCAGAAAGGTCTGAGCAAAGGAGTGATATAATCTGACTCCTATTAAGGACGGGCACTCCTGTAGCTCAGTATTAAGAATGTCCTAGCACTTGATTCTGTACAGGTAACTTTAAGATACATTGCCCTAAACTTATTTTAAAAGCCCTAGCAATTACTTCTCACATCTCCTAACTTTCAACCCTACCTAGCTCCTTTGTAAATACTCTGGTTAGTCAACTTCTCTCAGTTTCCCTTTTCTTAGGTACATTACTGCTGCTGCTTCTCCTTAGAAAATCCTATTTTCTCTTCTCTGTGTACATATAATTCTCCATTGAGTCCTTGAACTCCTAACAAACCTTGCATGATTACAGTCAGTCACACTGACTCACTCAACCAACACATATATAGCACTAGTTCACACTAGGTAACTTCCTAAGCAACTCACAAATAATTAATTTAATTTTCTAATTTAAAGACAAAGAAAACGAAGCTCAAAGAGGTCAGGAAACATGCCCGCAGTCACACAGCAGGGCCAGTGCCAAGCTCACTCAACCATTCAGCTTGCTCCAAAGCCCACTTTGCAGCTGTGAAGCCATGCTCTTATTTATTCAACACATCCTCCATTAATAATGTCTCCAGCACCTTTCTGATTACTTTGCACCAATGTTTAAGTTTGGTACTGATATGGAACAATGACAATACAAATGACACTAATACTTTTTTGGCACCTACTGTGTTCTAAGTGTTTTATAGGAATCAAGTCATTTAATCCCCATAAGAACCCTAGAGAGTGGGCTATATTATTATTCCCATTTTAATCATGAGGAAACAAAGGTATAGAGGTAAAATAATTTATCCAAAGACATTCAGCAAACAAGTGACAAATCTGATATTTGAACCCTGACAGAATCTGCTTTTCAACATGGTACTATATGCTGTTTCTATATCTAGCTTTCCAATTCAATTGCAATCCTGTTTTTCTACATTTTCACTTCTTTGTGCACCTTCACGGTATTAAACAGATAAGGCACTCAACAAACATTATTGCTAACTTGATTCTGTGATCATTTTCTCAATAACCAAAGTAATCAAAATTATTTTCTCAGAATACAAACAAAAATATCTTCTATATTTAACATTCTGTCAAGATATCTTCAAATGCTTTCTTTCTAGATACTGAAAAGTTTCACTGTATTCAAATTCATCACAACAGAATCCGGGAAAACAGACAGAAATCCAGTTAAACATAGAAGGAGGTCGGTGCTCCTTCAGTGAAGTTTGGTGACTATTCCAGCCCTAATGAATGGAAAACATGAAGTATTATAACATGTTAAGTTTTACCTCTGTTAAATTTAATGTGTAGATTTTACTTTCTTCACTTTCTGAAAATATAGCTTAACAGAAATCCTATTACAGAATTTTAGCAGTTCAGTAAAACTAACAAGGATCATCTAATAATGCTTCTCCCTGTGCTCAATAAAAGATGTTACCAAAAGGTTTAGTATAGTTAAGTCATTTGTAAATAAATGTATAAATATATATCATTATTTAAATTTATAAAATACATTTTGACTTGACCAATACATCTTTTAAGTTATAATAATAATAGCTACTGCAGACACCACACACACAGAGAAAGAATAAAGTATAACAAAGAACTTACCATTTAACATATTGGAGGTTTTAATTTTGTCAGTTGGTCTTACAACTGTTTTAGGAATAAGAGCATCAAAATGATGTAAAAAGCGTTCCCTTGTGAGTACTAACAGACTTTTAAGTTCATCAGCAGAAATTGCTTCAGGCTGCTTTGCCAACTTTCTCCTTTCTGCAAGACAAATCAATATAATTAACCATATGACTTTTTTTCAAGTCTCTCTGGTGCCCATATACATACAAGTCCTTTATGAATAACATCTTCAAAACTCAAACAAGTGAATTTCTCCAATAAACCACCCTTTCATCTTAATCTTATTTGCAGACAGTGGTAGAATTCCTAGTTCTGTGAGATAAGGAGAACTAGCATAATTTGTTAACACCAAAAATCGATAAACAGTAAAGGCAAGTTTACAAAAGTTTTAGAAATATTGCAAAGCATTAAAAATGGCCTTATGTTGGTATTTGTGTGAAAATAAAACGTGTTGACCTTCAGTTAAATATGGGAGCTTGGCCCTTCTATTTCTTGACCTTTCCAAACCTAAAAACATAAAACAAAGGAATATAATGGGAAAATAAAAGAAAAAATGATTAAAAAATGATATTTCTCCACAAATTTGGAAGACAGAAATGACAGTGGAATGGTAACTGAGTCAGCACAGCAGAGGAGGTATGACCTTGGGTTTCTGCAAAGAGGCAGCACCAAGGAGTATGAGGCAGATGGTGGTGAGGTGTGCCTGCAGCAGGACTGGGTATACAGGGAGTAGTCAGACAGCTCCCCAAGTTGATCCTCCAGCACTCAGAGCCAGGCAACTCTGCTTTCATTTTTGGTAAGGTAAGCATCCTTGGGTTCCCCTAGGGACTGAACCCAATGGTGCTTAACCACTTAGCGACCTCTCCGGTCCCCTCTTTTTAAAAAATTTTGGAACAAGGTCTCACTAAGTTGCTTAAGGCTTTTGCTAAGTTGCTGAGACTAGCTTTGAACTTGAAATGCTTTGCCTCAGCCTGCTGAGTCTCTGGGATTACAGGCTTGCACCAGTGCATCTGGCTGCTTTCCTTTTTTCTTTTTTTTTTTTTGGTCCCAGACTATAGAATATTAGGCATAATGAAAGTCTATATAGCACTGAAAGGTTAGACTCTGAGCCCTGATGCTAGTAGCTCTACTACCCTACTAGAAAGTTAAAGGATCACCTTTGAAAAACTCAACACTCTCAGAGAAAAAAAGTCCAGATACTAATATTGTTGTAGGGACAGATTGGTCAATTTTCACTCTCCAGTGAAGTTTGCCGGAGACTACATTAGACATAGGCCAATAAAGTGAAATTTAAGACAGCATGATGAAAAAGAATCACCAGACATCTAAGGAAATGTGTTGAGGGGAGAGGGGCTCTCAGTTTCCCAGGCCCCATGTTTATACATGTAAGAACTAAATAAAACTTTCAGCTCCCTTCTGCTTCCATCATTCAATGAGTAAATCATGAACCAGGCATGTTTTAATAAACCCTTCTTTCCTTTTCTTTTCTGCTCACTGGTTTTTAGGATTCATATTCTCTATAGTATGGCAAAGTACTTTCCTATTATGGTTTGGATATGAGGTGTCCCCCCCAGAAGCTCATATGTGAGACAACACAAGAATATTCAGGTAAAATGATTATGAAAGTTGAAACCTAATCAGTAGATCAGTCAGTCCACTGATTCGGATTAACTAGGTAGTAACAGGTAGGGTGTGGCTGCAGGAGGTAGGCCAGGAAGGAGGCAGCTTGACTTTGAGACTTATATTTTGTCCCTGGTTTATATTTTGTCTCTGTTTCCTTACTGCCATGTCCTGAACTGTTTTCCTCTGCCATGCCCTTCTGCCATGATGTTCTATCTTACCTCTGGCCCAGAGATATGAAGTTGGCTGTGGACTAAACCTCTGAAACCGTGAGACAAAATAAACTTTTCCTCCTCTTCTTGTTCATGGTTAGATATATTGCATCACAATGACTCAAAAGCTGACTAAAACACTTCCCTTGCAGGTCTGGTCTGTAGTTGCCTAGCCGAGAGCTATTCAAGTTTGAGTTTGGATGTATATATAAGAAAGGTTTCCTGGCCATGACTCCAAATTACCATATCATTTTCACCTACAAGTTATCTACATCTGTATGTTTCATTTTTTTCTATATTGGCTCCAACTTTGGAAGAGGATGAAAATATTATTGGGATCCCTCAAATTAAACACAGAAACCCAATATGAAAGAGAGATTTAAAGCAAACAGAAAAAAAGGAGCTCTACAGGGAAAAAAAAAAGGTTGCAGAGAACAAAAGAAAGGTCATGCTAATTAATATTCTCATAGATCAGATACTGGAACAAGTACTTGCTTTGATAAAAGAACAATGAATGAATAAGAAAGGACTTCTACAATTAAGCAAATGAGAGATAAAAAAATTTAACCTCCATAAAAGAGCTGTAAAATGAAACAGAAGACGTCCCTCAGAAACCAGAATTAAAAGATGATACAGAAACAGTAATAAAAATTAAGTTCAGATAAGTTGGTATATAATTAATAAGAGTTCTAGAGAGAAAAAAAAAAAAAGAAACTGAAAGAAAATTTTTAAAGAGATAAATTAATAAAAATTATCAGACTGAAGGATGTAAATCTTCTGTTGAAATGGACCCATCAAGCACACAGCTCAATAAATGGGAGAGGGGCTGGGGATGGGTTGTGGCTCAGTGGTATTGTGATTGTCTAGCACAAAGAGGCACTGGGTTCAGCACAACATAGAAATAAAATAAAGATACGGTGTCCACCTAAAACTAAAAAATAATTATTAAAAAAATTTTTAAAAAATAAAATAAATGGGAGAGGGGTGGATGGTGGGAGATAAACCATGATTCAGAATAAAGCTTCCACACAAAGTTTTCAGGAATGGGTGTTGATGGAGGTGGGTTGGGGAGATCTAAAGAAGACTGCAAAGTGTCAGAATGGTATTTGATTTTTCAACAAGAACACAGGAAAGCAGTTTGTAATGAAGCAATGTCTTCAAAATTAGGGTAAATTATTTTCAACCTCAAATTCTAAATGAATTATCAATCAAGCCAAGATACTTTCAGAAATGCAAGAATTTAAATTTTTACACATCATGAACTTTTACTCAGGAAGTTCCTAGAAGACATGCCTCTACAAAACAAGAAAATAATCTAAGGGAGAAAAAAAATCCAAAAAAGAAAGAAATCTCCAAGCTGTCAAAAGATTTAAGTAAGCAGTCCAGAGTTTAGGAAAATATGAAACGCTCCCAAAAAACATACAAAAATAAAAAAGAACTGGTGTGTTTGATCAACAATGAAAGCTAATGTTAAAAGTGTGTCAGAAATGTTGGAACCTATAGAAAAACATAATATTTTGTCTGTACACAAGAGTAATCAAATTAAAAATAAGGTGATGCTATCGTTTAGGTATGAGGTGTCCCCCAAAATCTCATATGAGACAATGCAAGAATGTTCAGTGGTGAAATTATTAGATTATGAGAACTATAACATGATGAGTAGATTAATCCACTTGGATGGTTTGGTTATTTGAATGGATTAATGGGTGGTGACTTGAGCAGGAAGGGTGTGGCTAGAGGAAACAGGTCACTGGGGGCATGTCCTTGGAGATTATATTATCTCTGACTCCTAGTACTCAAGGTTTCTCTGCTTTCTGGATGCCTTGAGCTGAGCAACTTTCTTCTGCTATGACCTTCTGCTATGGTGAGCTGCCTCACCATGGGCCTAGAGCAACAGAGTGAGCCAACCATGAACTCAATCTCTAAAACCATGAGCCAAAGTAAATTTTTCCTCCTCTGAGTTGTTCCTGTCAGGTTTATTGGTCACAGCAATGCAAAGCTGACTAACACAGGTGATTTGATCATCATCATGAATTACATGGCTCAGCAGTAAACTTATTTATATAGTTATACTAATGTTAAACTAACCACTGATTTGGAAAAAATTTAGGACTTCACTGAAAGGGTCACTGTAAGAAGAAGTGAAAGTAATATGGAAACACTAAATCTTTATCAACCATAGTTAAGTGTTGCCTTTCAGTGAAGAATGCCTGAAATCAAGAAACAGAAGCATACATCCACTGTTCAGAAAACAGAAAAAAAATGTCGGGAGAACCAGATGGAAGGACACAGGATAAATACATATGGATACAGAGGTTGAAAGATAAGGAGGGATAGGGAAGGAACTGCCATTTTCCATTTAAAAATTTTCAGTATCATCTGAATTTTTCTAATTGTACTTATGTATTACTTTGATTAAAAAAATATTTCACCTTTAAACACTTCCAAACTAATAAAATTTTCTTCCATAATAAAATGGTAACCTACAAATCCACAGAGAATTCAATTCAACAAACATCAAGAACCTACTGCCTGTAAAGTACAATGCTGTGCCCTTAGACACAGAGGGCTGTTAAAGCACACTACACACAGTAAGCAAAGTAAGAATGTTAACAAGGCAAGGCAGTCCAGGGAAAGAAGCAACCAGTCTCAAGGCTCCACTTTAGAGCCTCAGCTTTATGATATACACCTCCATAAAAACCTACTTCACCAACATGGATATTGGCAGGTCCTTCCAGATTTGAAAATTAACACGGGTTTCTATAGTCAAGAATATTAGTTTGGTAAAGAGTTATAATATATTGTTTCTATTACATCTTCTAAGTGAGAAATAAAAAACCTTGTTTTTTACTTTCTGCACAATCTGCTGAAAGTCATTCGAAAACAACAACAAAAAAATTACTCAAAGTACAAGCCTCACCTCTACTTATTAAAACTATTAATAATATTACAATTTGGAGATCATGGTAAGAATTCATATTGACCATAATGACTGAGAAACAGGGAAAATACATGAAGTTTAACAGAGTGGATAATTTACATAGACAAAAATAATCTCTACATAAATGAGTCTATATATAATTGAAAAGGAAATATCTTGGGAGAAAACTAATAAAATCTGAATGAGTGATCAAAGAATGCCTTATTCCTAAAAACATAGTAATTATTAAAGTGAAATGTAGAATATCTACAAGTATCAGCAGAATGAGCACAAATCAGGTTTATAATGGGTTCTGTAAATTTTAAAAAGATGTGAGAAGCTCAGAGTTATGACTGTAATATTGGAGCAAAATTATAATATTGTTTTTATATTTATTTTGCATCATACTGAATAGTTTCTTATTTAATAAAACTATTTAAGCACTCTTAAATTTTTCTTGAAGAATCACTAAAACAAGGTAGTATTAAATATCCTTCCATGTACAAAAAGTTATAAATTATAAAAATATAAGATAAAATATAAATTATAAAATTATAAGTTTTTTTGTCTTAGAGGGGGTACCAGGGATTGAACTTAGAAACACTCGGCCACTGAGAAACATCCCCAGCTCTATTTTGTATTTTATTTAGAGACAGGTTCTCACTGATTTGCTTTTGCTGAGGATTTCTTTGAACTCGTGATCCTCCTGCCTCAGCCTTCCAAGTGGCTGGGACTATAGGTGTACAAGGCTGTGACTGGCTAAAATTATGTTTTATATCACAATTTCTCATAACATAGTATTAGACATAATTCACAAGTAAAATAAATCAGAATTTATTTTTTAAAAATTAAGCTCTAACAGAATTTTATTTGAGTTTTGTACTATTAAAAAAATGTGCTTTAGTAGTATCATTGCTGAATGCACCTTTGTGGAAACTTTTCCAGCTGTTTTTGTTTAGTTTTTTATTTTTTTTATTAATACTAGTCTGAAAAATATTGAAAAAACAGTAATGTTTATTTCTGTTTGTTTAATATGAAGAAATCTTTCTGAACAAGTTTTGTTTTTCTGCAAAGTCTACAATTTCTGAATTAATATTAAACCCTAGATTTTTTCAAAGAAAGCTGTTTCCATTACATTCTTTAGATTTCATAAGTATAAGTGAATTAACTATATCAGTTTAAACACTTTTCTGTTCACATTTCACATATTTGAAAATCACTGAAGTTGATAATCAGACATGTCATGCTTACACTAGAAATTGTTTTGCTGTCATTTTTCTCTGCCTTATTTTAAAATACAGGAATTCTATACAGATGCATCTTTGTTACTTTTGTTACCAACGTTTTAATGCAATATTAACTTTCTGGGTATTGAAGGGATTTATTCAGTATTTTCATCTTATATGGATTAAGTGGATCATTAATCTGAACCAAGATTTAATGCTTCAGATTGCAAACTGGCCATTTCATAGATACTTCCAGAGTTGGCTTCTCCAGCAGCTACTAGCTCTAAGGCTTTCTTCAATTGTAGGTCCTGCACCTGTCCTCTGCCCAGTGCTGTGGCACCCTTATAGCTGCACATTTGTTTAGCACTTCCATACCCCGGTCCCCTCCCCAACTGCTCTCCCATCTGGGAGCTTTCACTCACACCCCTAGGCAACAACCCAGCTCTAGAAGTTGGTATTTCCCTTCCCCATCCAGGAGGGCTGGCCCTCCTGTATTTGCTCTTCTCCATCTTCAAAGCAGAGGTGGTCACTCTTAAGAGTTCCCAGTTGGGAGAGTTGAGGAAGAGAGATGAAGATATAAGAGCAGAGATGCTGAAAAAGCTGAGTATAAAAAGCTGCAGGAGGGTTATGGCAAGAAAATCAGCACCTGAAGAGGGCCTGGCAGCAACAGAACAAAGTCAAGAAGTAAACAACACTGCCAGCTGATGTCTGAAATACACATTTTACCATCACAAACTGTTATTTCAATATATATTTTTTTCTAGATTTTAGCACCTACTACCTTTTATGGAAACTTATTTGCCTTTCTAATTATGTTTTCCTTGAACAAACATCATTTTCTTGGTTAAAAAAATAATCAATTTACAATTACCCTGGCTTTATACAACTGAAAAGGTTTGAAATCCTTACATAAATAACTGAAACTAAATATTTTAAAATTTTCTTCTATTGAACAAACAGGCTACTGAATATAAGATGTTTTAAATAAAATAATGATAATTTAATTTCATAAAATACATAATTCTAATATTGTTCTATGTGTAATTAAGGCAGTCTTATGATTTTAATGAATTTCTTAGAAATTATATATCAATGATTTTCTTAAAATAAGTTCATATTAGGCAAAAATGCATGCTTAGTATTTATAAAAAATACTGATAACCAAGTTAACAATAATAGAATAAAACTCTTAAATTAAGATTCATGAAAAAATGTTAATTTCCTGATTAAGGAAAATCTGTAACACCAACTTCATTCAGTGTGTGAAATTTGCTTAGTTATTTTTGAGAATCATGATTAAAGTCAGAATCCATCCTCAGGTTAACTTTTTAATTTCTCTGGAATTACATTTTCTTTTACTTGTAGTCTCTATTCTGTTTCAAAAATATATAAAAGTTATTATATATATATATATTAACTAGGATAATAAACTTCGGTATCTTTTCTAATATATAGTTAAAACCAAATTTAAAATACAAAATTTATTCAGCAAAATATTTTTAAACTATTAATAGTTATGTACAAATAGTAGGAACTTTCTGAATCTGATTAAAATTAAAGTTGCATACCTCTTCTATTCTACATCGTCTACATAAAGAATAGTTTTATAAATGTGTGTCATACCTAAAAGACAAAGTATATAAAACAAGTGTGCAAATATAGAAAGCTTATGTCTAAATAAATCAACATTCTTACAGTAGAATAAAAAAGTAAAATTTGATACTTACTCAGGCATTGTTTCAAAGCCCAAACTTGCACATTAGCTAACTGTTTCTCTCTCTGTACAACTTGTTCCTCAGAAAAACATGGAAGTGATAATAAGTCAAAAGGGAAGCCTGGGAAATAGAAAAGAATCAACACTGAAGATATTCTATTAGTTAATATCCAGTTCCTAAAAATGATTTTTTAAAAAAGCTAATCACTCTCTTGATCTTACATATTTCAAAGTAACAATTAAGCAGGAGAAAACAAGTATACTAGATAGTTTTGCATTTTAAACTTTGACCCGATTCTTAATTCTTTGGGAGACTTTAGGAACCAGAGAATTCCTACATCATTATTTTCTTCTGCCTACTCATAAAATAGATGAAATATGGATGGTCCCTAGTCTCTGAAGATAGCATGTCCAGTCCTTCCTAAAACAAACCACACCCTGTTATTCCTCCTTGTGCAGTCCCTTCCACAATGAATCTGGGCTCCACCTATGCGTGATGGTCCCAGGGTAGTCTGGGCTGACCCAGTCTCTTCCCCTTATCTTCCTGCCAATAGTCCTCAAAAAAACTGTGGAACATGCTGGGAATGTACTATCTTGAGATAGGGAGGAAGTTAGTGTTCAAGACAGCTCAGGCTTTGTTCCCCTCCTTCCTACAAGGAGATGCCCTTCAGTGTTTAGCCCAGTGAGTCATATGGGCCTTGAAGTACATACCCCAGGGTCTGTTGCCTTTCAGGGTCCCTCAGCTGTGGTAAAAGGACACATGGAGTCAAGACTCCAACTACCCCAGGCAGCTTTCTTAAGCCTTGAGGGACCACCTCACAGTAGATACTAGGCTTCTTCTATCCTGTACTGCCTACTGGTAAATAATATACCCACTTCACATAACTTATATAAGCATGTTCTATCTCACAGACTAAGACAAACTGATTAACAGAGCATGGAGGACCTAAACAGTAGCTCAGGATAAAGTGGGCAGAAGCATTTACATTCCTTATTCCTATTTCTGGTGGTTGGCACACTGATAATCTTTGTTATTCTCCACGCCACGGAAGTCTTTTCTTTCCTTATGGTTGGTAATTACCAAAATTGCTACATAACCACAAATCCAATGGTAAAAGTGTCACTGAATGTCTTCTATGCTAGGTCACAGAAGACCTGGCAGTTTCTTAGAACAATTTCTCTAAGACAAGTCAGCAACCATATGAGAAGTCAGACTATTCTGAGAACCTGATGCTATAAGGAAGCCCAGGCAGCCTGTGGAGAAGGGAACATGGAGAGAAAACCATCCATCCTAGTCCAAGTACCAAACATGGGGATAAAGAAGCTATCCTAGACAGCAATTCCTGTGGGATCCTCAAATGACTGAAGCCTCAGCTGTATGTAACTATAATCATATGTGGAAACTCAGAAGCATACAGCTGAACCCACTTAACACACCAGACCATGAGAGATAATATAATATCTTCTTGCTAAATTTAAGGTAGTCTGTTATATAGTTATCAGGTAACCAAAATATAGAACTTGGGGGGAAAAAAAAGAAGAAGGGCAAAAACCAGAAAAGGCCTGAGAGAAAGCAAATGAAAATAAAAAAAATAAATTATAGAAAAATAATATGTGTTCAATGTAAAAAACATTTTTTAGTTGATTGAAGACTGATGTGCTAAATTTTAGTATGCATATTGTAAAAGGAATGAGTTCTCTTCACTTTAAATTGTAAAAATGTAGTTGAAACAAAAAGTAAATAGTGACAGAGTTTAAGGAAAATAAGGTCATTAAATATCTAATATTTCTTCTACTTAAAATCACAGACTATTTACATACAAACAAATGTAGAATTTTTTTTTCTACTTAGGTTAACACTTACTCAATTTGGCTTCTTCTGTCTTTGTTTTCATCTTTCCATGAATTAAAGTGAGGGCAAAGGAGCCATTTATTTGGTTGGCCGAGTGAAGCATTGTGGCTTTACATCTTCTACTGCCATTACCTTGTACCAAGAGATAATAGCTAGAATACTCTCCTTTTACTTCAACATCTGGAACTAAAGAAAAGCAATAATCTCAGCAAGTATGCAAAAATGCAACATGTATTGGGGCAATCATGAAGCCCAAAAGGAATATAATAAAGTTTCCATGTTATTTTAAAACAAGCTGTTGAATTCAACGTGTGTGTGGGGGGGTGGGGGTGGGTGGGGGGAGCCAACCCAAGGCCTTGTGCATGCAAGGCAAGTGCTCTACCAACTAAGCTCTATACCCAGCCCTGAATTCAACATTTTTGAGGCCAGTAGTTTTTCACTTAATTGAGGAAGCTATTAAAGCAGAGAATCATAAAAATAACACAAAGCATAAACCTTTAGTTTTATAAAGTTAAAACTGAATATTCATTCTTTTGATGTGGTTTACAAGAGTTCTATAATATTTTTCTTTTATGGCCACACTCATATGAGATCTTCTATTTCCAAATTCTATTTCTTTAAAGTGAAATAAACTGACTTCTGCAAGCACACACAACTCAAATGGTGAGAGTAGAAGTGTACAGATAAACAGTTGCCCCTCCACATTCAGATTCTGTATCCCTGGATTTAACCAAGCAGATTAAAAATACCTGAAAAAAAAAAACAAACAAACAAACCCTGCATTGGTAGTTCTTGCCATTATTCCCTAAATAATACAGTAAAAGAACCATTAACATAGTTTTATTTATATTGTATTAGGTGCTGTAAGTAATCTAGAGATGATTTAAAGTATATGAGAAGATATGTGTATGTTCTATACAAAGACTAGGCTATTTGCATAAGGGACTTAAGGACCTTTAGATTTTGGTATCTGTGAAGGTCCTGGAACCAAATCCCCATGGCAAAGAGAAGACTGTACTGAAGAATAGTAATATTTTGTTTCTTGCAGTGAGCATCCTTATGTATTTTAGAGAGGAAATAGAGAGCATTCATTAATCTGGTATGCTAGTTATGTCAAGGTCAGTAAAGACAGCTTCAACTATATTTTTAAAAACAAATCAAGAGAGGGTTACAGTGAAGGTTGAAGAAGAACTAGGAAGTCTTTGGGAGTAAAAATAGAAGTAGAATCCTTTTTGTTGAGGGTTATAAATTGCACAAAACCATTTATTTTCACTATCTTCTGAAATTTCATTAAGTGAGAATAGAGATTTTAAAAATAATGTAAATATATAAGAACTAATACATGAGAGAAGAGAGTAGAATAAAAACATTTCTAGGCATACAGGGTCTCAAAACTTTTTTACCTATGCTCTTTCAGAGGAAATTACTAGAGGTTGTGTTCCAACAAAATGGGGCAGTAAATGAAGAAATAGGAGGACAAAGGTTCCCAAAGCAATCTCCATGATGAAGAAAAGATAGTCTCACACCACAAAGCTATGGAACAAATCTAGAGAGTAAAATCAACCAATCCTTGAGGACAGGTTTCTTATATGATTGACAGGATACTATGCTACATGATTCCATTGTGAATAATGCTTACATAACCATAATAATAAAAACAATGAATACTAATATAAAATGACTATATGACCATCCTTGGAAGAAAGGGAAATGAGAAGAATGTGAGGGTATGGTAAGGACAAAGAAATGAAAGAGGCTAAAATCCTTATAATCCATAATGGTAAATCAACAGAAAACATATTACATGTAAAAAATTTCAGTGGCAATCTGAGCAATTAACTTACAAATTTGGAGTTGAAAATGGTTGCTTCTGGAGAACAAATGGAAAGAGAAGTGATAGGACCAAGTATTAAAAAAAAAAAAAAAACTTTTTTGAGATGCGTGTGTATGTGTGTGTGTCTGAGATACAATTCACTTAAAGTCTACAATTCAACAGTTTTTCAGTATATTCAGTTATGCAACCATTACCACCAGTCTAGTTTTAGAACATTTTTATTCCCTTAAATAAGGGTAACCCCATATCTATTAACATTGACTGATTGCTTCAAATCAAATTTTACAACCTGTTGAGATAATATACTTGACTTTATGTACATGACTTTGAGCAAATAAAAAGAACTAAATGCAAAAAAATTAGCACTCAAAATTTAATTTACTTACCAGCTATACTAAAGGATAGAAGTTGTGTAAATAATGGAGTAGCATATACCACCATGAAACAATCAATGTTTAGTTCTTAAATTGCCATATTCATATCTGTACATAAAAACCATAGCTAACAACAAGATCAAAACTGATACTAACTGGGTGTAAAAGTACACATCTGTAATCCTAGTGACTCAGGAGGCTGAGGCAGGAGAATCGTAAATTTGAGCCAGTCTGGGCAACTTAGTGAGTTCTTGTCCCTAAATAAATAGGGTTGGGGATGTACTCAGTGGTAGAGTCCCTGTGTCACTGGGCTCAACCCCCAGTTCTGGGGGTAGTGGCGGGGCGAGAATCAATACTAAATGTGAGTTACTGAGGTGATGATAAGGGTTACTCACAAAAAAGTTCCAAAGAATTATGACAATAGATGTCAATCAACAGAATGCTAGAGTCAGGAATTAAGAAAAAGAAGAAAATGTGGAAAGCACATCACATAAAACAATAAGAAATAAATTAATCATAACACTAAAAGTTTTTTTTTTTTTTTTACACTAAGGGCTACATCAATGTTCAACTTCATAGCCCTAACAGCATTGGTACTTAGCATGTAGGAAGTATTCAAGAATTGTTAACTGATTTGTAAAGACAGGGGAAAAAAAGAGATTGAAACAACATGAAAGAGGCTACAATCTTTATATTCCATAATGGTAAGTCAATAGAAAATTTTTACATTACATGTAAAAAATTTAAGTGGCACAATAATATGAGTAGTGATAAGAGAAGACATTTGGAATACTCCTTAGAAGGACAATGATCTGCAAGTGATAGTGCAGTAAAACTAAAGAACTGCAGAGATAGAAGAGACCGCAAAGAATGGAAGAGACCTGAAAGGACTGCAAAATAAGGACTACCAGAGTCAACTGTGGCCCAACTTCAGGGAAATGTTTAATATGGGTTTGTTTGACTCTTTCCCTAGGCAATGTATCCTATTGAAAAGCTTTTCCTCATTGAATATGGCCTCCCAACTTCCACTCTGATCATGCCTTTTCAATCTTCTTTACTAGTTCCTCTAAACCTTCATACATTGCAAATTTGCCCTTGCCTCTTTTCCTTGCAGTCAAATATTCTCCCTGGGTAATTATATTTGCTCCTGACTGACTATACCATTCAAAGCAATATATCCATGTCCCTTTTTCCCTTAAGTTTATTTTAGGGGCTATTGAGATGGAAGCATGTGGACATCTGCAGAACCATTCTCCAGCAATATAATTGGGAAAACTATCCCCAAATTTCACCATACAGCAAACGAAGAAGGGTTTCTTGAGGAAAAAACTAAAATTGGATAAAAATTGTGAGTTTATAGCATTTTAACTATGACCAGCTTGTTCCCCTGAATGCACCTGGACAGAATATCCCATTAAAGTAGGCATGGCCAAGAAGATGAGTGTCCTTTTGCCCTCAGCTCCAGTCAAGGGTTATGATGTATCATGAGGAGGGGCCAGCTGTCAGCACTCAGCTCCTCAATTCCAAGTTGAAGAGGCTGAATTCCTAATGAGAATGAGATTTCAGGGACTCCCATCCTCCCCTCAGTCCCTGCTCAAGGTAGAGGCTCTATTCCAGGATAGGCAATCTGACAATAATGGGCACTACACTGCTATCACCCCAGCTCACTTACAGGGCAGAAAATCAAAGATCTAGTTCACTAGAGAGAACCAGGAAAGCTAAGAAGCAGCACCAGGGAGTTAGAATCCAATGCAAAGACTAACTTCAAAAATTATCCCAAATTAACTGGATCAGCAATTTACTACAGAGCTATGTAAGCCACAATAAAACAATAAGCTGGAAATCAGAATCTAACAGCTGGGTAAGGAGGTTTGTCCAAATGAGAAGGACAAATAAGAAATCAGGAAATGAAAGACCTGCAAAAAACACCTTACTCCCAGGGAGAATATACCCCCCCTGATCGCTATAACCTCTGAAAACTGACAGCAAAACATTGACACTGAGAGAGAAAACAGATTTCATTAAAATAGCCCAGCTACTCACCAAACAAACAAGCAAACAACAAAAACAATCCTAATAAAAGGGTGGGAAGACCTAAAATGCAACTTTCATCAAAAAAAGATATGAGACATTTAAAGAAATAGGAATGTTTGATATCTACAGAGAGAAAAAAGCAGGCAACAGAAAATACTTATGAGATAAGGGCCCAAATGTCAGCTATAACAAAGACTTCAAGGTAAATACTATAAATATGTTCAAAGAACTAAAGGAAACCATGCTTAAAGAAAAATGTCTCAGCAAATAGACACTATAAAAAATATAGTTAACAAAAATACCAGATGCAAATATTGGAGTGAAAAAGTACAATAAACTTAAAAGGGCTAAACTCTGAAAAAGTATGTATTCCTATCACAACTAATAATAGAAAATTGGAAAATTAACAAATATGTGGAAATTAAACAACATGGCACTAAGTAACAAATAGGTCAAAGAAAAATCACAGGACAATTTAACTAAACCCTAGAATGAATGAAAGCAAATATACAATATACTAAATTTTACAGAATATAGCTAAAGGAATGCTTAGAAAGAAATTTCTGGTTAAGAATATTTTCATTAAGAAAGATTTCAATCAACCTAAATTTCTATTTCATGATACTGAAAAAAGATAGGAACTCAGCATGCTCACTTTTTAATTTATACTCACAACAATTTAAACTCTATACATGTATATTCATAGCATTATTATTCATAAAACCCTCAAAGCAACTCAAATGCCAATAAGCTGATGTATAAATAAAATGTGATATACCTAAAAAATGGAATATTACTCAGTAACGAAAGGAGGCAGTACTGGCACTTGCTATGACATAGCTGAACTTTGAAAGAACTTTGCTAAGTGGAAAAAGCCAGTCATTAAAGACTACACTTACACAGTTAACTTAAAAGAAAATGCCCCAAATAGTCAAATCCACACA